TGGGTCGTCTCTAGGCTTTGACATTCACCCTCGTTATTTTTATGACTTTCGAGTTCTGTCAAAGAGAGGCAACTGTAGACACCCCATTTTTGACCGTCCTTAAGACTTGGACGTCATCGTTTGAACACTCGATGATTACCCTTGTTTGTGTTCATCTTGAGTTCTTGGAGGTTTCGGCTACGCGCTTTACCTCAAGACCTCTCGACTTGTTTGTTTTGTGTTTGGTTCTGCATCAAACACTTGTTGTTTTGCTTCTGAGGGTGGGAAATAGCTTGTAGGCCATCCACACACCTCACCGGCCATGGCTTGAGGCCACCGGCCTTGTTTCCTTGCCACCAGCCATTGGTGATGGCCGGTCGGCACTATTGATGGTCAGTCGGCATTGTGTTTGGTCGGCCGGCCACTGATTTTGGTCAATCGGCCACTTTTTCTAGCCGAGACCTTTTCTTGAGGGGGTTTGAACCTTTTAAACCCTTGGTTTTAGCTTCTTGAGGAAGCTTGAACCTTTTGAACCCTTGGTTTTAGCTTCTTGAGGAAGCTAGAACCTCTTGAACCCTTTGTCTAGCTTCTCCAAGAAGCTTGAACCCCTTTGTCTAGCTTCTCCAAGAAGCTTGAACCCTTTTGTCTAGCTTCTCCAAGAAGCTTGGCCCTTTTGGCCCTTTTTGCTCCAAGCTTCTAAGAGAAGCTTGGACCCTTCTTCCTCTATAAAAGAAGAGCTCCTCTTCCATTGCAAGGGTTCCAACAATTGGTCTAAGGCATACAAGAGTTGTATCTCTCTATATCTCTACATCCAAGCTCCATAAGTGTTGGTTCTTGACCCCTTTACATACCACCTCACAACCACACTCTTCCTCCATCACTCTAAGGTTCTTGGAGCTGGTTTTCAGAGGTTGAAGGCCTACATTTTTGGTCCATAAGCTGCTAGAGCTTCTTGGCTACAAGGGTGACACTCCTTACCCTCTTTATTCCCCATTTTTGCACACACTTTTAGCCTGTCTTGCATGCTGTTTTAGGCTTTGTCATAAACTGAAAAAGTCTTGTTTTTGAGTGCTTTAAATAGTTGTTTGAGGTCACTTTGTTGTTTGGGATTGTTTGACCCCTCTTAGGCCTTGTTTGGCCCCCATTTTGTGCTATTTTGGTGAGCTCCGGGACCACCTTGTTTGGGCCTCCTCACCACTGAAATCTTGAGGGATTTCAGTGGTGGGGATGGTGTCTTAAGGTCCTAAGAAGGAGAGGGTCATCCCTTCTCCTTATTGTCTTCAAAAAGTGTTATTTTAGCCTCACGTGTGAGCACCATTTTTAAGTTCATGTTGGCCATGTCTTAAGTGTTATTTGTTCTTATTTTGCCATGATATAGCACTGTTTTTACTTGGTTTAGACACACCATGCATGCCTTGCATACTTGTCTTGTAATGCCATAAATTTGCCTTAATATGCTTTAGGCTTTGACCCTTGTTCTAGCATGATTTTGGCCAAGCTTTATGAAGCTTTTATGCATGTTTTAGTATGCTTTAGCTCTGTTTTCAATTGCTTTGGTCATGCTCAACATGTTTTGTATAGTCTCTTTGCATTCTAGCTTGTAGGCCTTGAGTGTGTAAAGCCATGAACATGTTTTGCTTGATTTGTTTAGTTGGTTTGGCACCTTTTCTAACATAATTTCAGAGCTTAGTATGCATGCCATGTGTCCATGTTCATCTCTTTTAAGTGTGCTTAAGAGTCCCTCCTTTATGCTTAAGTGTTGGTCCATTTGGATGCATGATTGTATGTGTACTTGGCCCCCATTTCCTTAGCATTTGGCCACTGTTTTGGGCCTAGTTGAGAGCTGCCCAAATTAGTTTAAGACCATTCTAGCATGTTGTTGCATGCTTGCCCTATGTGTTGTTGCATATCTGGCCTCATTCCATGCTTGTTACATTGCATTTTGCATGTTTGATACATTGCACCTTTGCATGCTTAGGTGGTAATGCATTTGGCATGAATTGTACTTAACATGTTGTCCATGTTGCATCTTGCATGCTTGCATGGTTAAGATTACACTTTGCATGTTTTCTAGCTTGCATACTTGCCCTCATGTTCATGTTGCATACTTAGCCTCCATGCCTAGGTTGCATTGCATAGAGCATGCATGCTTTGCCTCTTGAATTGAGTATAATAGAGGTTGGGCTTTATGTGTTTATTTGGTTTGCATGTCATTTGAAATCAAAATGCATGACTTGGCCTCTTGGGCCATCATGCATGGAAATGTGCGATTGGTGGTCCGAGGGTCGAGCACCATACTCCCTTGAGTCTTAAACATGATATGGAGTGTGGTTGTGCAAACATTTGCTTTGAAATGGATTGCCATGCCTTGTTTGTCCTCTGCTGCTGTCAAAACAGATTTCTGCAAGAAGACATGGCCGGTCGGCCATCTACAGTGCCGATCGACTAAACATTTGTGGCCGATATCAATATCCATGGTCGATGGATGGCCGGTGGCCTTTACTCTTGACCGGTGACCTTCCACAGTGCTCAGAAGGTGGTTCAGAAGCATCCTGGAGACTTATGCAGTTTTCAGAGGTGCAAAACAGTGTAAACAAAGGCAACAGTGGCATGGCATTGGGTTTCTGAGCGAAGCCAATCCGAGCATGCATTTATCCCTCTTCCCGGGGCTGTTTTACTGCTTTATTAGCTTAATTAAGTTGATTAATTGGTTAAGGGTTTGTAATATTTAATTAGCTAGAGTAGTTAATTATTTATTCGGTCTGTATTATTTATTCGGACCCTCCGAGTGAGGGCACAACTGTAGTAAGTGTGCGTGTGTGTGATGCATGTCTTCCAATCCCCACTTCTTTCTCCCTTTTACTTACCTGCTTTTGATGGTTAGTACTAGGGCATATTTCAATTAGCATCCTTATGCTCGCATGTTTGCATCATTCATCTGTATTGCATATACTGGGCTCGGCGCATCATACTAATTGCATTGTATTTCAATTCCAAGTTAAATACATGTATTGAACTGTCGCATCTCATATGCCATTCTTAGGGTAGTCGAGCCTATTCTAGTTGCATCTTTGCATGTGTTGTATTAGCCATCTTAACATGAACTAGGATCATGTATTTGATTACTAACTAGTTTCTATTTTGGCTCGGAGTACTCGGTAAGTGCTTATGCTTTAGCATCCTTGCATGCATGTAAGTGTTGCCATGACAGCATGCTTGCCATGAGGCTAATTCTTTATGTGATATAACTGCCTGAATGCCTGTGGGTGAAGGTTGGATTGTTTGAATTGGGACAATTCATTGAAATCTGTATTTTAGCCTACTTGCGAGTAGCAAACTTCAAACCATTTTCCAAACAAATGGATATGCAATGCTTTGTTCCAAATTAGGCGATCTAGTCTATACTTGTTTTGCTGCGCGCATCACATAGTAATTCTAGGCTAATAACCGAAATAAGAGCACATAATATTTTCAAAACTAGATACCATGGTTAATAGAGGCCGATCTTTGATCGGGCGAGCGGGGGTGTTCATAGCTGACCTTCCCCAATCGTACCCAAGTTCCCGAGCCAAGGCAACTTTGGTGATGACGGACATGTGGCCTTAGGCAAGAGTCATGGTTTCCTAAATTTCCCCAAAATAAAATATTTAGGTGGCGACTCTGTATCTGGCAAAGCAGTCCATGTTTGGCACTTTTTTTTCTAAAAATCTGTTTTTCTCAAAATGATTTGCCGGATTTGGACTCTTTGGTTCAAATTAAGAACCGTGACAATTTGAGTCCGAACTGTAGTGAGCCCAAATTGAACAGAACGGGGATTTCCCCCCGGGACGTTCGATGACGTCTACAACACCAATATCTAAATTCGCCAAGTCAAGCTAAGTCTGTTTCGGCTTTCATTTGGAGCAGATTTATGGTTTCTACTCAAGGAGACAAGGTTAGTGAGGTTGGAAAGATGTACAAAGTTGTTCAGGGTATGAATTTGCGTCTGAGGGCAAACCCGTTTTTGCCTAAACTTAGTTTTGGGGTAATTCTATTTACACATCCTTACTTATCTTAGTATACACCATTTACTCAATTTACACCATACACAAATTAAAACTTTTAATTTTGTCTCAATACACATCAATAATTTTCAGATAATACTAAACTACCCTTATCTTCTCTAATAAATCCTAACCTTAACCATTGTCAGTAACCACCGTCTCCCACCGGCGCCGTTCCCTTCTCAACCTTTCTCAACCTTCCACAGCTGCCACCCCTCCAAGCCTTCTCCCCTTCCCGCCACTGCTTTATCCTCTCCATCGCCGTCCTCAGATCGGATTTGTGAAGAACCCAGTTGATCTCAAACTTCACACCCTTGCTGTCACTCCTTCGTCAACCACCTCACCCTAGGTCGCCTCTCCTCACTGCAACTCGTATCGCCCTTCTCCGCCGTTGACGAAAATCTGAAAACCCTTGGCTAGAATGAATCGTGATGGCGAGAGAGAGAGAAAGAGAGAACCCAGCTCAGCACTCTGTTTCTCTTTGTCCAAACTCCCATTTCTTTCTCTCCTCTCTCTCTCTCTCTCTCTCTCTCTCTCTCTCTCTCTAAAAGTCATGGCACCAGCATCTTAGTAGCACATTACCAAAACAGTCTATGTAATAGATGCTGGACAAGATGAGAGGATTCTATTTCCACACACTCGGTGACTGTCTTCTCACGGTGATGATTCTTACCCAAATTTAATTTTAACTCAATTATCTATTTATTTTTTATTATTACATTGATTGGTAATTTGAGCCGATTTGCAAAAGCAATGCCATCAATAGAGGGAAGTGAAGAAGATGGGTATGGGTTGGGGACCCAAATGAGGGAAGCAATAAGAAAAATTGATGGTGATTATGTCAAGAAATTTAAAGAAGGAGATTTTGATGTGGTGGCTAAAGAGATAGAGGGATGGAAAGGAATTGCATTTACTTTTACTAGTTTGTCAAAGTTTTCAATGTATGAGGTTGATTTTGGGTGACCTGTGTGGGTGACAATGGCTGCACAAACTGTTGGGAATGTGGTTGCTCTAATGCCCATTCCTGTGGCCAATGTATCAGAGGAGGCCATGCAAGCAGTGATGAGTATGAGAAGGGATGAATTGGCAAAACTTGAAGTTGATAAAGTGTTCCAAGCATTTCTTTCCCCTACATTGGATGATAAAGTTCTCTTTAAGAGCTCTATGTAGATTTAGGTAGCCTCTCTCTTGTACTACTGAATAATTATTGTGATTAATTTAAGTTTCTTTATTGGTATTTTGGGTCTTTATGTGTTTTGTCCTTTTCTTCTTGGTTTTTATAGTAAAATTGCTTAATTAAGTTCAATCCATTAACAATTATAAAACCATAGATAACAATTAACACAAATTGAATTTCATGATGACTTTCTTTATTTTCTTACACATCCATTTTTACATTTGTAATACACAATTCCCCATATGGTTCAAATAAAATTAAATCATCAATTTTTTCCTCTTTTTCATAACCCATAAACAATTAATTACGGCTTTTTACTCTAATCCTTTTAAACATTTTCCTCAAACATATAATCTCGTATATTAACAATAAAACACAAAATTTAACTCTAGATCATAAAATCCTAACCCTTATCACATGCTTTTCAAAAATACCTAACAAATCAAGTTTTTAATGCAATAAAAACTATCGCATGTCTATCTATAACAAGGTATTGAAAAGGAGAAAAGAAATCCCTGCCTCAAGGAAAGAAAAGGAGAAAACTCAAAAAAATCAACTTCGCTGGAATTTAATCTCCACCGATCAAAACATAACCCTCGAGACGCTCGTCATTTTTGTATAAGGAACTAATATCAAAATCTCACTTGATCTTTGTAGATCGAAGAAAATGTGAAATTTGGTGAGAATTTAGAGAGAATGGAGAGAAAAGAGAACTTAGAGAGAGAGAGAGAGAGAGAGTGGTAAAAAATGGTCAAAAAGATAGAGGAATCTAATTTGAGTGAAAAGGGCACAAAAATCGATGTCTGGACACGCAAAATCCACTTGTGCGAATTTTGAAACCACTCGTACGGATCAACTCAGGGAAAAATGGCTTTCTCGTAAAATTCACTTGTGCGGAATTCAAATTTCCGCTCATGCGGATTTGACCAAACAACTGATTTCTAATAGGTGTATCTCCTCGTTTGGAAACGGAATGTCACGACCCAAACATGCCCCTATAGGTTTAGCGTCATGACCGGCCAGTAATCTAAGATTACCTATGGCCTCTAGTAACAAAATCGATTTAACAAGAATTATGAGGCTTAGCGGAAGCAAATTAAAATATACAAGTAGTCCATTGAGTTGTGCATATATGAAAAGAGTTCACATTAACACTGTACATCCATTCATTAGGTAAGTGGATACATCACAAAAGTTTTTAAAGCAACATTCAACCTACAATTTCAAACTTGTCAAGTCTTACGTACACAAAACCTCTATACCAAAAACCAAGCTAAGAGTTCATAACCAAAAAGGGGTTTAGTCTATGCTTGGCTCCACACGAGTCCAAGTTAGCTCATTCTCAGGAGCTCCACGAAAGGCTGACCATTAGATGACTTCGAGGCACTCTCTATCCTTGATGCTCAACTTGCTCACCTACATATATATACATAAATAGTGAGCTAATGCTCAATGAGTAACAACAGAATAAAGAGGTTATATGAATGAAGTTCAATATCATTACAAATGTCATTTTTACATATCTAGTCAACCTTGTATCAATAACCATTTCATTCAAATCACGTGGCACATCAAGTAGAGTAATAATGCTTTAATAACAATGGGACCGTGAGGGTCAATGAATGTTCAATATTCAATGTGACTATGAAGGTCTAACATTAGAGATTTTTGTGTTTCAATTATCCAATGGGCCACGGTATTGTTTCCTCTGGGCAAGGGCCAATGGGCCATGGTGTTAATCTCCCCCAGGCAGGGGCCTCACTAAAGGATGCCACGATTACAAATTCAAATAGAACTTCATTCATTAAGGATAAGTAGTACTTCAATAAATCATTCAATCATTCATGTATCAATTTCGATAACTAATACTATTTTTGAAAGTAACATATCTTTATAAAGTTATTACTCACAGTGGGTTATGTTGTCACTAGGCCCCGGACGTCTATCTATACAAAACACATAACAAAAATACAATTTGAGTACCGTTCAATAACCATTCCGCTTTAATTAAATTTTGCTCATGTGTTTCTAACGCATTCCATGTTTATATGAGCTCAATTGGTGCCTAAGAGTACTTGAAATGACATGAAAATGTAAGCATGCACTTAAAAGAGTTAGTCAAAATTTATTGAAAACAAGGTCCTCGCTCGAGCGGGGGTTCAAAAATAAGGGTGGTCGCTCGAGCGCAACTTCGGTCACTCGAGTAGTCTGTAAACTCTGCAAAAGTACTGATTGCAAGAATTTTTCGCTCGATAGACGCTCGACAGTTGCTTGAGCGGAAGACTGAGTAAATAGGGTCTTGGGTCCTTGCTCGAGCGCAACTTTAGGCTCTCGAGCGGTCTGCAAAATTTTGCAAAACTACTGGGAGCTCGATTTTTACGCTCAAGCGACACTTTTTTTGCTCGAGCGGACAGGCCGAATTCTGGAATTTCCAGAACTGTGTTTGAAGTTCAAATTTGATATTCAAAGGTTCAAAACTTGTATTTTTGGTACAAAAACTTGGAAAAACATTTTAGAACTTGAAAATATAGTCAATTTGAAACCAATTGCTCAAATCATGGACCCAATTCTCAAAATCAAACTTAAATCATGAAGTTAGAACCATGCATGACATGTATTGCCCTCATTTCTTTCCAAATCTTTTCAAAACTTTATCAAATGGCATGACAAGTGTAAAAACATGAAGAACTCTTTAAATGAATGTGTAAAAGTTCCATGCATGTAAGAATTCATAGAAAATTGAACTCAAAGATGAAGGATTATGCATGCATGTATGCTATTATACTCAGTTCTTCCATAATCAAGTCAATTCTTTCTACTTACATGCAAATAGACTCATAACTTCTTGAATTCATGACCTACATGTTTTATTTTCAAGATTTAAGGAGGAATTCCATACCTAGGATGTGAATTCAAGTGTATCCCAATTTGATCCTTCAAGTTCTCTACCAATTCCCTTCAATTTCTCTTTGCTCTCTCTCTCTCTAAGTTGAGTTCTTCTTCTCCCTCTCTTAAAATCTCAGCCAAATTACGTATTTGAGGCCAAGTAAGGATTATATCACTTATATATAAATGTGATTAGCTTAGCCTAATCATATATGATTAAGGTTGGTTAATTATAGTCAACTCTAACTAAGTTCAATCAGTTTATTCTAATTATTTTGGTCCGAATCAAATTTTGATGAAAGTTACCATAAAATTCTAAATATTCCAATTAGCCTATTGGACTAGTCAATTTTAGCTTCTGAAGTCGTTTGGGGCTTTCAATTTCTGATTCTAAGTCGATAAGTGAACAGATATTCCAAGTAATAACAGATAACTATAGAATTAAGCATGTAACCACACAATTAAACACACAATCATGCAATTAAACTTATTGAATCAATATAATATAATAGTACGGAGGTCAGGGTCGTCACACGGAATATGGTCAATTTTGTATCTAAATTGAAGCTCCAAAAATAAGCTTTCCAACGATTTTAACCTCTCATCAAGATTCAAAATGTGGAGAAAGAAAAAGACAAAAGAGTGAACACTCTCAAAATAAAAATTTTAATTTGGCATTCTTGGTCTAATCTTGCCCAGCCAACATGTTAACTCATCAATCAAGACTCTAAACAATGAGGAGAAGGTCTCAATTATAATAACTAAAAGTTTAAATGCAACCCACAACTTTTCAAAAGTCCAAAAAAAAAAATTGTAAATATAAGGTAACGATTGCCACTTAACATAAACAATTCGGGTCTAAGACCCGTGACACTACATTCCCGATGATGAAAAGGTAATTACTTCATCCTTAGAGATGCTTAAGGTTGCTAGGAGTTGCTGTATAACCTCGTTTTGGCACAAAATCATAATTTTGTAAAAATGATCATTTTACCCTTGAACTGGTTTTTATCCAAAACCCAACTTTTTGATCCCCAATTAAAGGTAAAGGCTTCGATTGAGTTTGAATTGATGAATATTTTCAGAACATGGACTGATCTTATGCAAAAACGTCAATTGGTAATCGACTGGACCTACTTAGGTAAAAGGAGGGTTCAAAAGCTTAAAATCACGCACTTATGCATGGCTTGCATGCATTGAGGGCACGTGCGTCCGCACATAGAGGTTTGGTCACACATGCAGCCACACATGGTGTGTGTGCCCACACATACCACTTTGATGGGCTGTGCAGCCGCACATCCTATCAATCCAGTCTATGGTTTTAAGTTGCTATTTCTTTAAGAGGCGCAAGGAAAAAGCAAAGAGGCAACCCTAGGAGAACCAAGCGTGTTCCCCAAGCTTTCCTAAGCCTATAAATAGGACCCTACCCTCCTCCCCTTCCCATTTACAGATGATTGATTTTTGAAGTGTATTAGTGAGCCTTGAGAGAGAAACACCTCTTCCCTTCACCTAACACCCTCAAATCTAAGATATTCAAACCCTAGAAGTAGATTTTCAACTTCCAAAAGTGTATCTAAGGTTGAAAAAAAGCAATCAAAGCAAGTCCAAGCTTGAAGGATGCTTGCAAGTAAGGATTTCAAGGCATTTCTCTCTTTCTTTGGTTTAATCTTTAAACCAGCAAATTACTGTTTTTACTTATTTTTAGTAGCTTCTAATTCATTATTTCAATACCTAATCATGCTAGGATGTTAGCATAGCATGTTCATCATGTAGGGTAATTATCTTGCATGTTTTTAGTTTATTTTTACATGCTTTGTTTAGGTTATAGCTGATGCATGTTTAGGGTAGTTTAGGTTTCATATTCTCATGCATATGACCCCGTTTAAGTATCATGTATATTAGTATAGCATTCTTTCACTTGTTAGTTGCTTTTTGTGTATTATAATCATGTTAGAACCCTTAAACCGAACCTAGATTGCATCTTGTATGTATAGTAGCATGTTTAGGGCATACGCATATTATTTTATTCTTATCATGCATGTTGGATGCGTGATGGTGGAATTTGGTGAGTTTCTTATCTTTTCATGGCATATGCTTGTTTTGGTGTATTGTTTTCAATAATCCAAGCTAGGTGTTTTTTCATGCAAAATTGGTTATTTTGAATATTTTCATAAATATTGCTTGATTTAGTTCATGTTTATGGCCATCATGTTTTGAAAATATGATTTTTAATGAAGAATGTGATTTTTGGTGAAAAATATGGATTTATTCAATGAATCTAAATTGAGTGACATTTATTCATTTATATCACTTAGTTTTAGGGTTAGTAAATGTTTTAGGATTAATAATGAAGGTTGTGAAATAATTAATCTCTAACCTCATTAAATAGAATATTAGTAGTGGCCAATTTTCGGATTGAACAAAAATGGGTGCATCATTCAAAGACCTTTCCGTTTCATGCCTTAGTTCTAAATTTGGATTATTTGGTTGTGACGGATCAAGTTTTTTATTTAGCGTCTGTTTGGGAAGCCAATCCCAGGCTAAAGTAGCCAAGTCACGACAAAAAAGGCTAATTAGCCAAGTCACGACAAAATGGAATTGAGCGGGTGTTGGGCGAGGCTGTCTCGTGCGAATTTACCGAATTGCCCCGAGAGGCTAAAATCTGTCCATCTGCAAACAGACGCTCACATTAGAGCTCATACACACCCATTGCAAAGCAGAGGAGAAGAAGAACGGAGGTACTGGAGGCCGTCGGACCGACCTTGGCAGACGAAACCGCAACCGGAGATCGAAACCGCGGCGGCGAACAACAACCAACTCTCTCACACTCAAACCGATCTGCAGGTGATGATCTATGGCCTATTTGATTTGTTTTCTCTTCTTCCCATCTGCATAGTTTATGTTCATAACAGCATCGGTTCATGGCCGATCTGTTGGCTCACGGTCGTTATTGGGTTGATTACACTTACATTATACACAGACCGGCCACCGATCTGTCTCATCCCTAAATCTCCTCTTTTAGATCTGTTGTGATGTTCGAAATCTGTTCGCATCCAACAAATTTAGGGCAGATTTGTATATATACATATATATATATATATATATATAATATCTGATCTGATTCAAATAGTTGGTCTGATTTATAGAGCTTCAGAATCACAAATTTGGGCCATATGTATGAAGGCACCGTTGTTTAAACAAGTTCGGAAATGCAAATCTGGTGTAGAATTGGAATATCTGTTCGGTTATAGTTTCAAATGCAGATCTTCCATTTTTTTTTTTTTATATAAATAAGAAATGCTGTTCCCATTTCTGAGTTGCTCAATTCCCATTTGTGCTTAACAGAAATGCTCAATTCCCATTTGTGAAATGCTCAATTCCCCTGATTGTTGCGTAATAGAAATGCTCAATTCCCATTTGTGAAATGCTCAATTCCCCTGATTGTTGCAAAAAGGGGGGGAGTTCTTGGGGTTGGAAGAGTATTCTTTGGGGTAAGGAGCTTATTCTAAAAGGTTTGTTGTGGGTGGTGGGTAATGGGAATAAGATTGATCCGTTTGAGGATAACTAAATTCCTACAACGAGTAATGTGATGATGGGCCGAGGTTTGGGACAACGTTTTAATTCTCTTAGGCCATGTTTGTTTGGGCGGACTGGATGAGCATTCCCATGACTAATAGTCCTAGGGGTACAAATCCATTGGATTATGTATCCTATCTTAACTAATAGTCAAGTTTAAAATAATTAGTCCGTACTTCAATTGTTTAATCAAACATTGGATTAGTAATTTTATTGGACTATTAGTCCAATCCCAAGCTCATGTCCACCCAAACAAACATGACCCAAGTGTATTGATAAATAGTGTAAGCTGACTCTAAGTCTAGCTCGACTTGACCCAATTGATGCCAATTCTCCCCACTTACTACTTCATGCATGTATGTTTTACTCATGACATTGTTTAAAATGTTGCCTTAACTAATCTCTCAAATATATGTAGTTTTGTTTCATATATACTAAGTAATTACAGATTCAAAATAATAAGGTAAGCTTAAGGGAAATAGAGTAGGAATAAAATATTTAATCATTAATCGCTCAATGTTCGAATCCATAGCTTCTCATATGAAAATTATAGTTTTGGCTAGTGAAAACCAGTTAGCTGATCTCGTTGAAAGGTTATGACAAATACTCATGTAAGTGACAATTATTATTATTTTTAATAAAATATATATATATATATATATATAAAAGTGACAAATGTCATACTTTTAAACTTAAAATTATAAATTTACTCAATTTATAAAATTTTTTTTTGTTAAAAATATTAACGCGATCAAAATGACATAAGAACTTATTTATTTTAGGTGCATATATCATTTTCCTTTTTGTTGTTAGTTCTTCAATGGAGTAAGACATGTTGGACAGGTGCACCAGAACAGCTACGCATTAGTGGTGAGTACAGAGAATCTTACCCAAAACTGCTACATGGGCAACGACCATTCCAAGTTACTCATCAATTGCGCTTTCCGTATTGGTGGTGCTGCCATCCTCCTCTCCAACCGGCCGTTGGATCGCCACTCCTCCAAGTATCAACTCATCCACACCGTCCAAACCCACATGGCAAGTTCTGACCGTTCATACAACTGCATCTTCCAAGAAGAAGATCAAGATGGACTCGTGGGAGTCACCGTGACCAAAGATCTATTAGTCACTGCATCCAAAGCCATCCAATCCAACATAAGCACATTGGGTCCCCTAGTCCTTCCCGTATCGGAACAACTCCTGTATTTCGTCAACTACATCATAAGGTCCCTCCATGTGGCAAAGATCCAGCCCTATGTTCCTAATTTGAAGAAGTCTTTCAATCACTTCTTGCCACATGTTGGCGCGAAACCGGTTCTAGACGAACTGCAGAGGAGTTTGAAGTTGACCGAGGATGACATGGAAGCTTCTAGAATGACGTTGTATAGGTTCGGGAATACATCTAGTAGTACGGTGTGGTATGAATTGGCTTATGTTGAAGCCAAGGGGAGGATCAAGTACGGTGATCAGGTATGGCATATGGCCTTTGGATCTGGGTTTAAGTGTACTAGTGTGGTTTGGCGAGCCATCAGGACCGTTGACCTCGAGGTGATGAATCCGTGGAATGATGAGATTGATGAGTTTCCTATGGACCTCAACAACATTGCACCATTCAATAACTTCTTTGAACGTACAAATTGATACCATTTCAACAAATCAATGGTGGGAAGGGTGGTGATCAATGCTATATTTGTTTAATTTTATTGTCTTTTTTAAAAATAAAAATAAAAAAAACCTTGTTGGTAGTTGTTGATCTAGAACTTTATGCAATAGCAATTCAGTTTGTTATGTAAAACCTATGCTTATTTTGGGAAGCATTTTAATTTTAATTTTTATTTTTTTAAAATATATTGACTTATTATGAAAAGATGTGAAAAAAAAAAAATAGAGAGGTGATAGAGCCCAAATAAGTCAATAAGCTAATAAATTGCCTTTTTTTTTTTTTTTTGCCTTTCTAAAGGAGGCATTAGTTTGTTATGAATTTATGTAAAAAAATGGATGGGTCTACTTTTAAAAATATATTTGTCATCTAATTTTTTTTGGAGACACATGAAAAATAAATAAATTATAATTATTAGATCGACCCAATTTTTTTTCATGAATAATATGAACGAATGACTATACAATATAAACGATTCAGATTAACAAAACATAACTTATAGTAGACTTTACAAGTCTGAACACAACAATCATGTTTAGATTCAAATTGATAGAGGCTCAATTCAATTAAATATACACGGTCACTTGGTATGATATAAAGTAAATATACACACTTTTTTTAAATTTTTTGGGTTAAAATTCACAACAAAACATGACATAGGTCGACCTATAGAGGTTTTTGGCCCACCACTTAGAGCTCAATACACGGTTCAAACATTAAAGCCCAACATTCCTAGAATCCAACGTTACACAAAGAACCAATGGCATCTAAACACTTGTCAAAAGGAGAACCAACCACGTAAGCGACTATTAGTCCAATCCCAAGCTCATGTCCACCCAAACAAACATGACCCAAGTGTATTGATAAATAGTGTAAGCTGACTCTAAGTCTAGCTCGACTTGACCCAATTGATGCCAATTCTCCCCACTTACTACTTCATGCATGTATGTTTTACTCATGACATTGTTTAAAATGTTGCCTTAACTAATCTCTCAAATATATGTAGTTTTGTTTCATATATACTAATTAAGTAATTACAGATTCAAAATAATAAGGTAAGCTTAAGGGAAATAGAGTAGGAATAAAATATTTAATCATTAATCGCTCAATGTTCGAATCCATAGCTTCTCATATGAAAATTATAGTTTTGGCTAGTGAAAACCAGTTAGCTGATCTCGTTGAAAGGTTATGACAAATACTCATGTAAGTGACAATTATTATTATTTTTAATAAAATATATATATATATATATATATAAAAGTGACAAATGTCATACTTTTAAACTTAAAATTATAAATTTACTCAATTTATAAAATTTTTTTTTGTTAAAAATATTAACGCGATCAAAATGACATAAGAACTTATTTATTTTAGGTGCATATATCATTTTCCTTTTTGTTGTTAGTTCTTCAATGGAGTAAGACATGTTGGACAGGTGCACCAGAACAGCTACGCATTAGTGGTGAGTACAGAGAATCTTACCCAAAACTGCTACATGGGCAACGACCATTCCAAGTTACTCATCAATTGCGCTTTCCGTATTGGTGGTGCTGCCATCCTCCTCTCCAACCGGCCGTTGGATCGCCACTCCTCCAAGTATCAACTCATCCACACCGTCCAAACCCACATGGCAAGTTCTGACCGTTCATACAACTGCATCTTCCAAGAAGAAGATCAAGATGGACTCGTGGGAGTCACCGTGACCAAAGATCTATTAGTCACTGCATCCAAAGCCATCCAATCCAACATAAGCACATTGGGTCCCCTAGTCCTTCCCGTATCGGAACAACTCCTGTATTTCGTCAACTACATCATAAGGTCCCTCCATGTGGCAAAGATCCAGCCCTATGTTCCTAATTTGAAGAAGTCTTTCAATCACTTCTTGCCACATGTTGGCGCGAAACCGGTTCTAGACGAACTGCAGAGGAGTTTGAAGTTGACCGAGGATGACATGGAAGCTTCTAGAATGACGTTGTATAGGTTCGGGAATACATCTAGTAGTACGGTGTGGTATGAATTGGCTTATGTTGAAGCCAAGGGGAGGATCAAGTACGGTGATCAGGTATGGCATATGGCCTTTGGATCTGGGTTTAAGTGTACTAGTGTGGTTTGGCGAGCCATCAGGACCGTTGACCTCGAGGTGATGAATCCGTGGAATGATGAGATTGATGAGTTTCCTATGGACCTCAACAACATTGCACCATTCAATAACTTCTTTGAACGTACAAATTGATACCATTTCAACAAATCAATGGTGGGAAGGGTGGTGATCAATGCTATATTTGTTTAATTTTATTGTCTTTTTTAAAAATAAAAATAAAAAAAACCTTGTTGGTAGTTGTTGATCTAGAACTTTATGCAATAGCAATTCAGTTTGTTATGTAAAACCTATGCTTATTTTGGGAAGCATTTTAATTTTAATTTTTATTTTTTTAAAATATATTGACTTATTATGAAAAGATGTGAAAAAAAAAAAATAGAGAGGTGATAGAGCCCAAATAAGTCAATAAGCTAATAAATTGCCTTTTTTTTTTTTTTTTTTGCCTTTCTAAAGGAGGCATTAGTTTGTTATGAATTTATGTAAAAAAATGGATGGGTCTACTTTTAAAAATATATTTGTCATCTAATTTTTTTTGGAGACACATGAAAAATAAATAAATTATAATTATTAGATCGACCCAATTTTTTTTCATGAATAATATGAACGAATGACTATACAATATAAACGATTCAGATTAACAAAACATAACTTATAGTAGACTTTACAAGTCTGAACACAACAATCATGTTTAGATTCAAATTGATAGAGGCTCAATTCAATTAAATATACACGGTCACTTGGTATGATATAAAGTAAATATACACACTTTTTTTAAATTTTTTGGGTTAAAATTCACAACAAAACATGACATAGGTCGACCTATAGAGGTTTTTGGCCCACCACTTAGAGCTCAATACACGGTTCAAACATTAAAGCCCAACATTCCTAGAATCCAACGTTACACAAAGAACCAATGGCATCTAAACACTTGTCAAAAGGAGAACCAACCACGTAAGCAGACAAAGATCCTGCAGAGTTATTACACCACACATCAGCCATTAATGAAGCCCCTGCAGCATTAAATGCGATTATCACTTCACATCGGAGCAGGCACCATGAATAAGACAAGCTAGAGCGTAGACTTTCGGCCAACGTGACAGGTCGGAATGGACAAGGAAATGATGAACAAAGGATATAAGGAGGCTTACAAGACACAAAAAGGTTAAGTTCCCTATCGTTATTCCCTTATCATTCGCCATTAACCTCTCTCTTTTCTAATTTGACCGTCGGAGGGTCCGCTGAGGGACTCCCGTTCCCCACTGGGCTTTTTGCGCAGGTTCCCCGGTGGGCTTAGTGATCAGGGAACAACGTTGAAAGTGTGGGCCTATGATCAGCAGTACTATCAGGTATTATCATTTAGCGCTGTCTGTGGGAACGCCATTCCGTGACAATTGTGCTCATTGTTACCGGAAACCCGTTCCTCAATCAACCCTTCTCGTTGGCCATCAAGGTGAATGGTCATAACGAGATCCATGGCTTCTCAACACAATGTCGTCAACTCCCAAGCCGACCCTCCCAATCCAAACAACCCACCTCAGCACTTTATAGAACTCACCAACAGCATCAACCGCTTGGCCGAGCAAAACTAGGCCTTGATCAACACTTTGCTCCGGCGAAACCTCCATGTACCTCATCCACCACCATAAGATATCCCTTCCAACAAACCCCGAGCCATCCTTTCCAACAAGCCCATCTCTCTAACTTAGAGGGTCGGTAAGCTCTATCCCAAGACATGAACCTGCCACCTCGAGGTTTACATCCGTCCGGTCAAACACTTGCCCCTAAAGGAGAGACTAGTAGTGTTCAGCCCCCACTGCCCTCAGGGGGCGACAATGTCCCTATCTGGGATGTGGAACTTCGAGCCATGAAACTCCAGCTTCAAGAATTTATGCAGAACATACAGAATAAACCCTCCACAACAGCCAACTCGTCATTTGTCACCTCCATCAGAGACAAACCCTTACCTCTCAAGTTCAAAATGCACTCAATCGACTCTTTCAATGGTACAACGGAACCAGTTGACCATTTGGAGATTTACAGAACCCTAATGATCCTCCATGTTTTTCCTGATGAGATCATGTGTCGGGCTTTCCCCGTGACACTTAAGGGGTCGGCTCGACTATGGTTTAGTCAGCTACTACCGGACTCCGTTTCTACTTTCCAACACTTAAGTGATTCCTTCCTGATCCATTTCATTGGCGCTCAACGCCAGTGGCGTCCGGCAACATAGCTTCTTAACATCCGCCAGACGGAGGGGGAGTCGCTACGTAGCTTTGTCACCCATTTTAACACCGAAGCCCTACAGGTGGCGGAAAACGACGACAAGGTCATCCTCACGTCTTTCATGGCCAATTTACGATTATCTGACTTCCTCTTCTCCCTCTCCAAAAACCCTCCAACCTCCATGGCCACCCTCCTTTCCAAAGCCCAAAAATATATGAACGCCGAAGACTCTCTAACAGCCCGCTAGGATACTACAACTAAAAACCCAACCTCCAAGGAGAAAAGAAAGGAATCTGAAACCAGAACCATCCAATATACACAACAAACCCCTCAGTATACCGGCCAACCCGCTCACCCCAATTGATCGGCACCTACCCGACTGTCCGGTCGGTTCGAGCGGTACACTCTCCTCAATTCCCCTATGGAGCAAGTCTTGAACCAGATCCAGCGAGATTACAACTTGAAATGGCCCCAACCATCACAGTCTCCTTCCAACCGGCAAGATCAATCTAAGTATTGTCGTTTCCATCAAGACTACGGTCACAACACTGAGGAATATGTTAACCTTGAAGACCAGGTAGAGAATCTGATATGTTAGGGTCGCCTCAGTCGATTCACGGCGACCTGTCCCCAACAATGGCCAAGGACCGAACCCACCGGAGGCCACCACCGACAAACTCCTCCCCGACAACCCCCACAACCTAACCGAAACAATGACCGGCCCCATTACGACCCCGACCCCAAGGCAACCCTACTCCCTCAGTCGGAGAGATTAGAGTCATCGTTGGCGGGCTTGCATGCGGAGGACCATCCCGTTCGA